GAAAGCTGAACCCTTCAAATTCCTGTCTTGCAGAAGTTTAGATTGTACTGAGGGTAGAAGGTTCCAGACCTAGGCCTAAGGGTAATTAGAACAGAGGAGGAAATATTCTGGGCTCAGTCCAAGCCATGCATTCTTAAAGACAGGGAATAGTTCTCATCTCACCACTTCCTCTGAGGAAATAAAAAAGGACACTTGCATTTATAGGTGCTGGAAAACAAATGTGGACTCTCTGCAAGAGCGTTGAATGGACTTAACTGTAGAGTCATTTCTTCAGCACTAAAGTTTTAGTTCTAAAATAACTCAATAATAGTCTCTCTTTATAAAAATGAGTATATTTTCAGAAAGTTTTGGAAGTCTCTTCCACAGAATTGAGAGGGGTGTGGGGAAATTCTGTAATGTGAGACATCTACCCTTCCCGAAGAGGGTAGGTGTTCTCATCACTGTCTTCTTCACAACTCCTTTACTCTTTCGTTGGCAAGATGAGTATATTTATATTTCTTTTGTGCCGTTTATAAGGCAGGGTCATTTCATTAATGACAAAATGTGGCCAGGATCATTTTTCTTCCTAATTACCTTGTTTTATTCTGTTCAATATTCTCACTTTTAATTAATGAACAGATCTTATTTTTGTGGAACTGTTTTAGAGTTGGAGACAAATTGGACAGGTGTCCAAGACTCACATAGTCTACCCATCTCTCCCTCCCAGTTACTACTAGTTATTAACATTGTTACTAACCTTACAATTGTATGATACATTTGGGTAGTTGTGGGTAGCCCTGGTGGTGTTAGTATTTTGATGTGAATTCTGCTTCCCCAAGAGGGGCTCCCTGTGAACCTTCCCCTAATAAATAAAGATTTCAAGGAACCGATCACTGGGTGAGGAGGCGGGACTTCTGGGTCAGAGAGAGAAAGAGGGGAAGCAGGAGAAAGATGCTTCTTTTTGGAAGGGAGAGGTGAGCATACGGTAGGTAGCGGAGGCCCCCAGTTCAGGTGCTGGATCCGTTGGGATCTACTACTGGAGGATTTATAACATTTATAACTTAGAATAGCTTACAAATTAGGATGCTAGTTGCTACCCCGAGTGATTGTGTTACCCGTTGATTCTAAATTGAGTTCGTGTGGTGCTTTCCTTCACGGGGCGACTTGATTGGGTTCCAGGGAGAAAGGCACTGTGGCAAAGCGTGGGTCTGTGAGAAGTGCACCCCAACTAGCTGTGAGAATTTGGAAGTGTGGGGCTGGTGTGGCAGCAACCCGCCACGGTTACTTAGTGAACCACGTGGAGAGATTTCGGAGCTCGGGGTCGGAGAATCTGCTGGGCTGAGAACAGGCCAGGTTGGCCTGTCCACCAGTGCTTCGCCAGTGGTAGCGTGGCTGCTTTTTAAATATTTCACACTACACTGGGTCAATTAATTAACTGGCAATGAAGCAATGAAGGGTTTTCTTGCACAAACTCATTATTTGCTCACAGCTCCTGTACTCCTTCTGTGCCCCATCCCCACATCCAGTGACCAATGCACAGGAGGCCATCCTATCTCCTTAAACTCCTTTTGGAGGTGATATTTTCTCATCCCGCCCTTATTTCTGATGACCTGTGAGAGCAATGGGAGGTATCACTGAGGTATAGTAGCTATCCCCAGGGGAATTTTCTCGGTATTTTTCTCATGGTATTTCCTTTTACTTGGGGAGGAAGGTGATGGAGACAGAACACTGTTTTCAGTTGTTACCAGCATGAGCTGTGATGACTGTTACAGACCTGACCACCCATCCGAAACAGTTGTTGATCATGGATGTCCACTACGAAGGTTTGATTCCCACCTCTTTCCCTTTCACATCTTGTTCTTCGGAAGCATCTCACTTGGCCCTTCCTTACCCAGGTGAGACAAATATGGCTCCATCGTCGGAGCAGCATACCTACATAATTGATGTGTAATTCTTCTCCATGAGAAACTTCATTGACGAGTTTGTAAGTAGAGGGGCCGATTACGTTTCATGGGTTCCAAGCGCTGACCGTTTTGAGGCTACGCATCAGCATATTCTTTGGGACAAGAAGAGTCTAACCACCATGCCGGGTAGAAGCACTAGAAAGAGCACTTGATTGGAAGTGCTAGTGTTTGAGATGGGAAGCCAGCACAGACATGTTATCAAGGGCGTGGTCCGCCATATACTACTGCCCCTCAAAGATGCTTGTGTACCAAGAGGTTCTTATCAGCAGTGCAGCAGAAAGATCGCTTCGCTTGCATTCTTCCTGAGTGGACTTTGACTCCGCCCCTTCCTCTTTGCTCTACGATCACCCCTTCCAAGCTGCCATCATCAGAGCACCCTTGGCTGGGTAGACTCACATTCCTTTACCATTTCTGCCTCGTGCATCTCTGCCCTTCATTTATGTCACTGCTATTGTATTAAGTCACCCTGCTTGTCCACGTGTTTATCGTCTGCCATTGGATGATGATCATTATTAGCTGCATGCTGTCAAGGACTTTTGTCTCATTCACCCTAATATACCAAGAAACTGCCCCCAATGAATTGGATTAGATTCCGAAGAAGATGAAGACATTAGGCCGACCATTGACAATTCCATGGAATGTTCTCGGAAGCTAGAAATTAATATAAATGCAAAAGCCATTTCGCAACTCTGAGTCAATGTGAGGAGCTTCTCTTAGCAATGGAGGGAAGAGTTCTGAAGGCAAATTGTATTATTAGCATCTGATCTCTGTTTGGGCCCTTGTAAGTCCCAACAAGATGATTTAGACTGACTTTTCTTAGGAAACTGAAATTAATAGGTGATTTGCCTGTCATAAAGACCTAACTTAGTTATTTAAGACATTAAGGAAAACCCCTTGACTTTTACGTCAAGTTGAAGATATCCTCCTGAGACTCTGGGAGATTCAGAAGAATCATATGGGTTGAACATCCGGTCCTCTTGTGAATTTCCTAAATGCTGGATGTCCTGGTCATGTAAGTAGGTGTTCTAGTATCGGAGGGAAAAGGGGGAGGGGTAAGCTTTTACATTTATTAATCTTCACCACAAAATAGATGAAGATAACGGTTTACTACATCAGTTTTATGATTATGGGAGTCCAGGTTCAAAACCCTGTTTTACCATTTGCCAGATGTGCGTTAAAATCCCCTGAATTCCATCTTTGTCCTCTGCAAATTATGTACCACTGGAGCTGAAGCTGTGGCCTCCCTAATTGTTTTTTGTTTTGTTTTGTTTTTTGTTTTTCAAGACAGGGTTTCTCTGTGTTGCCCTGGCTGTCCTGGTACTCACTCTGTAGACCAGGCTGGCCTTGAACTCAGAAATCCACCTGCCTCTGCCTCTCAAGTGCTGAGACTAAAGGTGTGCGCCACCACCGCCCAGCCCTAATTGTTTTTTAAATATTTATTTTACACCTATTTATGTATGTGAGTGTTTTGCCTGCATCTATGTGTGTGAACTGCCTGTGGGCCTGGTGCCTGCAGAGGCCAGGAGAGGGTACTGGATCCCTGGGAATGGACTTATGGGCCGGTGTGAGCTAACATCTCTGTGCTGAGAACCAAACTGTGCCTCTTGTGCAGGGGCAGCGAGTTCTCTTACCCTCTGGGCCAGCTCTCCAGTCCCTGACCCATTAACTCTTAATTATATTTGGTTTAAATTATGTCTGTGACTTTAGGCTCCAACCAGTACTAAAAAATAAAGCTCGCAATACTATAAAGGCCTCTCATGGCTACAAAGAATATTAAATCTATCTATCTATCTATCTATCTATCTATCTATCTATCTGTATTCATACATACATACATCTATTTATCTATTGATATATCTATATTGATTATCTATCTATCCATCCATCATCAATTCATTCATCATCTGTCTGTCTATGTATCTATGTATCTATCTATCTATCTATCTATCTATCTATCTATCTATCTAACCTCACAATAGATTTGATATACACATTCTTTTAGGTCCACACTACATTCGACTGCTGTTGAAACGTTACTTAGTCCTTTCTGGAAGCTTCTTTGTTAACTGGTTTCTTCAGGGCCACGGCTGTCTCTGGTGAAAGACAGCTAAGGGAACACAAGCCATCCTCCTATAGCTTCTCCTGTTTTCTATAGGAAGAGGAGCTGGGGGAGGGAAGTAGTCCCAGGTTTCTAGCATGAGAAGCAAGCACGCCTTTATCTTAAGAATTCCTTACGTCTCTTGAGATGGGTATTTAACAATGCCGCCCCGCTTCATCTCTGTCCCAGAAGAACACCAGAAGAACATGTTCTGGGTGGCTCCTTGGATCGTGACTGAGAGAGTAAGGCCGTCATCCATATCCAACCAAGTGCCACCCAGAATGAGATCTGTGTACCTCCAAAATTTTTTGCATCTTCTTTCTAGAATATGAACATAGGAGAGAGCCTAGGTAGTGATTTAATTAATCTTCCTAATTATGGGCAAACCATTGGCACATAGCTATTTTCATCTCGAAATTATATTTTCATAAGGGTATTTTTTTTCCCTTCCATGAGTGTCTCATCATCCCAGTGCAGTATAACCGTTAATTTTAGGAACTCTGAGCTTGATTTGTATTTAAGATATTTTACAATCTATATATAGGTTGGCCTTTAATAATCATTTAGACATTGCTTCTTTTTATATAGGTCATGTGTTCTCCTGGGAGAGTAACAAGATTAGAAACAGCAAATACAGTGCAGAATAAATTAAAATGCTTCAAACTGCATTATATAATTTCAGAAAATTGGTTTCACACTGAAACATTTAAATAAGAAAACCAAATGAGTTAAATAAGGAAAAAAAAAAAGAAGAAACAAAATAAATAAATAAATAAAACCCCACCCCCTGAGTGCATAGCAGGGTGGCCATTGTTTACCAAGTTTGACCTTAGAGTGCGGATGGCTGGCCTCTCCTCATGATGCTGCAGCAACTTGACCCATCTGGCCACTAATGGGGAAAACTATCATTTTCTACATTTTTTTTTTGTTTGTTATTTCAAAAGGCTGGTTTCATTCCTGTGGAAGATGAATAGTCAAAAACGCCATTCTAACAGTAATTGTATTTTTCATATATAGCTCTCCAAAATCACACACGCAAAGCAATGTTCTTGCGCTTGGCACTGTAAACTCAGAGGTGGGTGTGGAACGGGAGGGGCGGCACAACGCGCTGCCAATCAGTTAGGAAAACCGGAAGTGAGTTTTCCTTCTACATCTGCATGGGGGTGACACAGCGTTCTAGAGACACTATTATTCTGGACGGTTTTGTTTGTTTCTCTGAAGTTCAGCATCGCTTTGCTGGTACTGCGTCCTCAGGTTTTTGTCAGTTTCTCTATTCGCGCGTTAAAGGCCTCTTCCTGTACTTGCAGTTTTTCGTTTATCTCGTTCTGTGGAGACAATCATATATATATATAAATACAAGTGGTTATGACAGCTATCTTTGGCTGCACGTTGTCGTTGTGGTTTTGACATACTATAGTGCCTAAAGACAGACATTATCCCTCGCACACACCTTCCTGTTTTGCAGACAGAGCTGAGTTCCAGCCTGTGGTGATTCGATAACACTTTATCGGATTTCTCCGTACATTCCCAGTGTATAGCATGCCCACTGCGGACAGGAAGTGGTATTTAGATAGCCATTTTTCACACAGCCTCGTGTTGGAAGATAGGATAACTGATCTGCCTTTCCAGACACGTTTGCCAATGAGGGCTGAACTGCCGTGGGCTCAGTCGCTGGGGGGTTATGGGCCCCTCCACCCCTTTGTTTTAGCCTGCCCCTCTGATGTAGCCTAAATGGGATTCCTGGAATCCTCGGTTTGTGGAATAATAACACAAAGAGTCTCGCAATTGGGATAGCTCTCATAATTAAGAGTAATAAGAGTATTCATCATACATTGCAATTCTTGCATGCATGGTACTGTGTTGATACGAAACCAAAAAAAAAACACTCTCTCATGAGCAATTGGTGACAGGTTTTAGCGGTCATGGCAGCCTCTGGCAGTGATACTGTGCACACGAACATAGCTACCTCTGTAATTCCAGAAATGTACCTCATCGCATTTCCACGTTATCTCAATGCTAGGAGTTCAGAAAATGCTCTCTCTCTCTCTCTCTTTTTTTTAATCAAGGATGAATAATACAGTTGCACACAGGGACAATGACAGTTGGGAAGCTAGTTACTGCCTGAGTGACTCAAGGATAGGACAAGTGTATGGACGACACTTTATACTCCTGTGTGTTAATGAGTCAAAGGCTAGAACATTTAAGTATGTGACATGATTTGAAATCTTTGTGCTAACTGTATTTAAAATAGGGGGGAAAATCCAGTTTCACGAGCAGATATGATTAAAAACATTTTTATGTGTTTATGCAATTTTTAAGAAAGTAAATGCAGTAGGCATTTTTGAAATGTTTTCCCTGATTACGATTTTAATGAGATTTAGTTTTCACATCATGGGAAGAGTTGATATTTCTGACAGGTTACATCGGTGGTACCAGCAATTGTGGATTCTTGATTTATATGAGTATAGAATGGGGCATGGCTTTTAAGGTGGTGGTGGTGGTGGTAGTAGTTCTTCTTCTTCTTCTTCTTCTTCTTCTTCTTCTTCTTCTTCTTCTTC